GTAGCGGGAAATTTTGGAGGGAATTAAATTAAGTGAATTTGGCGTTATTGATAGCCATTCGCCAAATTAAACTTCCTCCAAAATTTCCCACTATACAGTATATATGTACATGTATATTTAATTATTTACATGTACATGTATATGTATTTCTTACTTGTCTGAAGTATAGTTTAAGACAGGAGCTGATGAGGTGAGGTGGTAGGTCGGAGAGATCAACCCTCTCAGAACCAGCTTCAAACAACTGACAGAGTTTCTCCATTTTACTCTTAGCACTCGATATGCGGTAGAGTCCTTGAGTATTGAGACCTAATGAAAAATAAATAAATAAAATAATAAAATGAATAAAATAAAATAAATAAATAAATAAATACTACATACATGTACATTAAATAGCCAAACAGCTTAGAGAATAATTTTTAAAATTACATATAAATTTTTTGCAGTTATAAAAATCACTGTATACTGGGGTCATGCATGAATTTTATTAAATGATGCTACACATATATTGTAAAATTATGTGGATTTTTATGCTGTAATGTACAAAGATGTGATATCTAAACTCTTCATATGCTTACCTCTCTCATCAATCTCATTGATACATTTTGTTACTATTATTGGTATGTGCCTTTTGGTCGCTTTTAGATGCTCAAGGAAATCAACACCAAAAGTATTCATCTTACGAGGCAATTTCTAGTAAAAAAAACAAAAAATGTAAGTACATGTATACATGTATATTAGTGGTACCTTAGTATCACAACGAATGGCTAATGTAGAGGAACACTTTCTATGACAAGATAAACCACACTAGAGGAAGAGAAAAAATAAAATAAAAATTGAAAAAATATAATAATTAATAACAAACATGCACTGTTAGAAGTTTGTAGGTCAAGTCTCCATTTTTTAAATTTTGGCTTCCCATAATTATTTTAGCCTAATTTTACTATTTTAGGTGGATTACACTCTCCCAAAAATTATTTCTAGAACTGTACATGAATGTATATATTCTCACAATTTCACATTCGAAGCCATGGAAGTACACATAAGTATCGCAGCCTCTACATCTTGATGGGGTCCTCAGTCTCTTGAAGGTGTGAGTACGAGCCACTTTGGATAGTACAACATCATCAGTGACTGATCTACCACTGGAGTATGGGGACCCTGTAATGGAATAGTCCTTCCCTTTCTCACTATCTATAAAAGAAAATAAAAATTAATTACATGCTTAAATAAATAAATGACAGTGCAAATAAAGCAGCTTAAATAAAATATTAAATTACAGTAAAAGTAAAGCAAATAAACATAATTATTTTATAATTATAAAATATTAGCTATAATCTTTACATCCATTTTTACATGTACAATACATTACTAAGTTAAAAAACTGCTACTTAACTACAAACTTCTCTTTGCTACTATGGCCTTTTTATAGTTAAATGTATCGTACATTTTTATTAGTTAAATGTATCATATACACATGTATTTTTACATGTACGTGTACAAGTAAAAAGTATAGACTCACTTCTCCTTTGTAAATTAGTTTTACTGCTTGAAGTCTCAAGTGAAGCCATATCAATATTAACAACACTCTTAGGACGAGACTGTTTAGGAGTTGGAGACTCCATTCTTATCATTGGGAGAGCTGCAGCTATTAGCGGCTTATATTCTGTTGGGCTGAGGGGCCTTTGGGGACCTTTAAAACCATCCGAGGTCTGGCTGGAACCCAACGTAGGATCGGCGGGATCTTCACCTGAATCCCAAACCCTGTAAATATATCGGTTATAAATTACTAAAGTATACTGGAGTATACTGAA